CTAACTCTGTCAATTTTTTTTCAAAATCAACACACTTGTGGGAAACATTTCAGTTTCAGCTAAACTTCAGTTTCTGATGGAAATATTTTACCAGCTCTAGTCCTGAGAGAGAGAGAGAGAAATCAGTGAACAGAGTGCAGGTGAAGCAGTCAAAACTGTATGAGAAATGCAGTTTATCAGAAAATTATCTAATTGTTTATCTGTTTGTCACCACCACATATGTGCTTTTGTGTGTACATATGTGTAGCACTCTATCCTCAGACAAGGAATGAAAGAGGTCTGTGACAAGAGCATAAAAAGAATATGAAGGAGTTGCCTAGATTTAGATGTATAAAATCATCTGTTAAAATCAATCATTCAGCTGAATTCAAATTTAGGGTCAGTTTGCATTTAGGAAGGGGAGTGACTTTAGGGTTCAGGAATTGGGCTGCACATCTTCCTGCTGGTGAAGCATACCTATTCCTCATTTCCATGCTGGCACTGGTTCCAGGGGAATTCATTAAAGCCCTGCTCCCACACTAAGCAGTAACCACGCTATGATAATGATTTCCAGCAATGGTAGGAGAACTTTGGCACATCATCTTATTTAATTATTTATTTTAATTTTAATTCACTATGACAATCTCTTGAGATACACAACTCATTTTCATGAGGGCTCCCAGGAGACAGCAATCAAACAAGTCTACTCTGCAGTACCATATATCGTTATAACACAAAAACATAGAGCAGGACACTCAATCTAAAATTGCAGACAACAGCATTGAGCAGTAAGCATCTTAGAGCATCAGCTTAACCAACAATTTAGAGGAATTTAAAAGATTCAGTCCCATGTTTGTTTCAGTCCTTCACAATTAAAGTAACTAAAAGTTTATTCTGTATTTTCTTCCAATTATGTTAACCATTCAGTCTCTTCCTGTCTTTATAATTTCATCACCAACAAGCTAGACTTTGCCATGAATACTTAAAGGGGATCTGCAATGGATTGTTTGTTTTTTAAAGTGGGGGCGAGCTCTCAAACTTTAATTGAAGGAATGTGGGAGATGAATCTTTATCAGTGAGATCTTTTCTCCGGAATGTTAATTAAGTATTGGATTAAAGTTTTCACTAAAACCCCAAAGTATTTTAAACAGTCTTACTAAAAATTCCTACGTCTTTCAATGGTTCAGGTTTTAGTCTCTGATGTCATAATGTAAATATTTCTCTGGTCATCTTACAGTAGATCAAGGTAGTCAAGAACTGGAATTCTAACATAAAAACCTAGCAGCAACCGTCCTTCCGTCTTTTTATTGTTATTAAAAAAAATAAAAAACTTTCAGAACTTAGTCATACATAGTAAAGGAAGAGGAAACACCACCCAGATACATCCTTTTGCAGGTCATATTTACTAGATAATTTCCAGACTGGGTAGCAGGGTGGATAAAAATGATGATTTTTTTAAAAATAAATTTTGTAATTTAAATTGGATTTTTTAATTTAAATTAGATATGGGGGGTTATAAATAACCCAATTTAAAATTAAATTTGAAATTATGACAACCTGTAGTAAGGCTTCAATTTACTATAATCTATTTAAATAATTTAAATTATATGCCTGTAGTACACGCTTCCATCAATTTTAAAGAAAATCAAACCATTGAACTGGTGGAGGTCGTTGGCTAAGCACCTGGAACCAGATTTAGTTAAAGTGCTGAATGAACATTTGATAACAGTAGCCTCTCTGTAGGTACAGTTTATTCAACTAGTTTAGTTCAATGACTAGTTTACTAAAAGTTGAAAAACTACTGAGAATAAAAAAAAAACCAACAACCCAGAAAAGGTGGTTTTCCTCTTCCAATCTATAAACACAAACTAGATGTGAGAGGATGAGATCTATTATTTCTAACATCTTGAAGAACATGGTGACCAGAAATGGTCAGTTCCAATCAGTAACTACAGATCATACTTCCTTTGTTTCATAAATCTTTTTTTTTAATGCAAAACTTATTTTGATATTTTTTCTTATGTAGCCAGCAGAGATGGGTTTATTTAACTAATTGCAAACAACGTTTTAAAATGCTGGTTTTACATATTTTTAATTTGAATTTTTATCCCAATAGAGCTTGACACAAATCATAAGTAAAAATTTAATCATTTAGTAAATAAGAAGTGCATCAGTCACTATTTTATAATATAAAAATGTAGAAACTAAGAATCTGAATAATTTTAAATTAAGCTATATAGTCACTTAAAAATAAATGAGCAAGCAGTGCTTTCCACAAAACCAAATCACAAATTTCCACAGAAAAGGCAAGTTGGGTAATAATGAGTTCAGATAAATTTTGTATACTGCTTAACTGCTCCCCATTGAGAAAATTTTCACTGTATATTGTTTTTTAAAGGGTTTCTGGGTTTTTTGCTCTTCATTTTTTTGTGCTGTGTAGAATGCCTGATGGGCTGTTCCCTTGAATCCTCCAAAATGGAAGTGAGGGAAGAAAAGAGTAATCTTTAAAAAGATAAAAAGTGTGGCATTTTTGTTTTGTAAAGTACTATTTAACTTTCATTTAATTCATATGTATTTATATTGGAATGTATCAATACCTAATTTATTGTAATAGTTTTTCATAAGTAAGTGAATTGTTAGGAAGAAATCTTATGCTTCAGGGCATAAACTAATTTCCTGCTGGGATGAGAAAGGAATGCTTTCTCCTAAGTGCAGAAGGATGGTCAGGGGCTAGGCACAGAAGTATGTGCCAGGAATCCTGTATTCTGTCTCTAACTCTGTCACAGACTTCCTACACTATCTGGTTGTGGCAAATCCCTCCAATTGTCCTTGATTCATTTCCCTGTTTGTAAAATGGGGATGATATTTACTGCACAGGGGCGTTGTTTAGAACTTAATTCATCAGTGTTAGAAAAACACCTTGTAAGGCAAATGTTTTAGTAATAGAGTATTAAAGATGGCCCGGTACATTGCTATTTTTGTTCATCATGTCATTTACCACTGCTGGAGCTGAGATGAGGTACAGGGGACCAATGGTTTGATCCAGTGTAGCAAATCCTCTGTGAGTCTTCCAGACAGAGAGAATGAAAGTGGCATCAAGATAAACTTTAAAGTCTATACAGATCTTTTCTCTTGGGTGGAAAATACTGTATTATTACCCTCATCCAACTGCCCACTGTTCCAAACTACATGCTTGCAATGGAAAATATGTCTCTCTTGTGGGTAATTCTACCTGTTAATTAGCACCAAAAGTTTAGGCAGGCATTTGCTCTGTGCTCTGATGACATCTGATGAACTGTATTTGGACTCAGTACAAATACTGAAAAAGAGTAGCTAGTGTTCTGCTGGGGATATTCCTGTGAAATGTGTGGATAGAAAGACAAAGAAATCCATAAACCATAAGAATTGGTGAACTTCTGCTCCTATATGTCCCCTCTGATTTCTAATTTCTTGTCTTACTGTTTTCTAAAGTTTCCATCCTCCCCTCTTCCCCCCCCCCCCCGGGACATTTAGGTAGAAAAGATTTCTTCTGACTCTGTCAGTGTGTGTGTTCAGGTTACTACTGTATTCCCTTCTACTGTCATATTAAATGGTTAAACAATACAGCAAAAAGGGCAGAGGTGTGGTTATCATAAGATAAACACTCCCATTGGTGTGAGGGAAAACAGTATGTTCCATATAGAAGTTGCTTTATTATATCTGTAAAAACAAACAAAAAACAACAAAGATGTGTTTTTCTCCCCATCAGGAACATTATGTTCTTTTACCTCAAAAATATTTCAATATCAATGACTCAGAAACATCTTCTGGCAAAAAGGGAAGGATGGGGGAAGCAACCCACTGTTACACAAGTAAAATTATCTGTGATGTTTATCGATAACATGATGACAGGGGAGAGGAGCAATAGAAAACAGATAACTTTCATATGAATACACAAAAAACTGAAGTGAATCTCATCTTTAAAATAGATTCCGTAATAGCTAATTTACCTAATTACAAGCTTGCTCCATATCTATTGGAGGGCAGTTTTAATTCTAACTCTGCGGTGAATGTTTGTACATATGATTTCAGACTTTGGGTATAGTCAGTGTCTGACATCTGCAGAGATTATATGTTGCTACAGAATTCTGGTAATAGAACAAACTCCTTGTCAAGGAGAACATTAGCCTTTCATTGGATCCTGAGAAGATTCGGGGGGACTTTTTATTTTCTATTTCCACCCCCCCACCATTACATTTTAAAGACTGATCTTTTATCCAAGGCTAATTTTCCTTTTTTAAGGTGGGGGAGAAAAGGGACTTTTATTACTGGGAAACAAGTGCCTATCTTATACAGTTTGAAGCCATGCTGATGTTTCAGACCAACAATGTTCACTTTTTAATTTGCTTTATGTATGTATTTCCGGAATGCTCCAGATAATCCTGGAGACTGAAGCCCTCTATGCAGTCACATAGGAGGTAAAACACAGGCACTATCAGTTTATGATTTGGTCACACAGTTCTGACAACTTGCCTCAGTTCTAACCAGGAGTCTCCACACTCATTATTCTTTTGCCTTTTTGTTTTAAACTACCAGTAGCCATGACGGTGGTTTTCAAAATGTTGGACCTCTGTCCAGTTGAAAGTTCATGGAGACCAAGAATTCATTTCACATAAACTGCCAAACACTATCAATCAGGTAGCAGTGGTTTTTGATTAGTACCAACTTGGACCGATGCTGTCACCCTGAACCAGTAGATGAAAGCCCCAATCTCATACTACCAGAGTCCCTTGAGTCATCCACTCCTTACATTGCACATATTTTATTCACTTTTAAAGAGCCATGCTAACTTTTAAGGTGCTTTCATAAAAACAATCAGAAAACACTTCCACAAAAGGTTGAAAAGAAATGTTGATTGGTGTAGGACCCTTTGACAGAACCAATTAGCACAGCAGTGGGTACATCACCTTTTGAGGTTGAAAAGCTGTAATTACTGTTTTTAGTGATGTGTAAGTGGTTTTCATTTTTTCCCCTTCTATTAGGTATAAAATGGTTGGCTGTGGCAGTCTATTGTGAAGACCTCGGAACAAATACCAGAAATTTCTCCACTCAGTTCTTCATGATGTAAATGCAGTGTGACCTTTCCCCAATGGGCAGTTAAACCATGGACATACGAAAAAAAAACATTTTGGACTGTTTTTCTAAACCAGGCTTCACCTTCCCTCTCGGGGACCTATTAAGGGATTACATCTGAAAAGAAAAGCAAAAGAGAGAAGGAAACATTGAACTGGAAAGTTATCCTACAATGAGAATTATGAGCACATCTTGTATCTGCCCAGTCCTAGTTTGTCTCTGTTTTGTGCAGAGGTGTTATGGAGCTGCTCATCATGGCTCCATCAAGGTGACCAGAAATCAAACCAAACACATAGAAGGTGAAACAGAAGTGCACCATCGTCCCAAGCGTGGATGGGTATGGAACCAGTTCTTTGTTTTAGAAGAACACCTGGGACCAGATCCCCAGTACGTGGGAAAGGTAAGGTCTTATTTCTTTTCTGTAAAGGGGAACAGGGACATTCGGAGAGGAACATATTTTTCTAGATGCCAACCTAGTTGATATCTCCTGTAGAGTTGGAAGCACCTCAGAAGTCAATGATGTTACAGACATTCACAAATTATTTGCCCATTATCCCTATTTATTTACAATAATAATCATGATGAGTAAAAAAGATGACATAACTATAACATTCACTATACTGCATCATCCTTAGAGTTTTATGTTAAAAAGACAATCAAGGGCTGCTGGAGCAACTGCTGCAGTTCACACTCCTCAGTGAGATTCTGTACTATCCCAAATGCAACATGTTCAATATACCATTACACATAGATGCTGACTACTTCAGAACGAGTTGCAAATCTTCCCTGAGAAATGCTTTAGGGACAAGAGTTGTCCATCAAGGTGTAGGCCAACTTTGAGATCCATGTGAAGAAGCACCATTCTGGAGCGAGTTTCACTGGGACTCTTCCTCTATCAGAGGGTACATGATATGCTTCCCTCCACAGCTGGCCATGTATGTATCTGGAGGGTAATGGCACCATATCTACCACATCCATTTAGGGTGCTACTTTAAAGTGGTAGGAGCCCAAGGAGAGTGCAAGGACTACATTTATGTCTGGCTTTTATGCAGTGAGTTCAGGGGAAAGGTCCTTATACTTTCCCACCACCCTTATGCTCCAACCAAAAACTGGCTCCCAGCATGTAATGTTGTCTGTATGAGATAATCCATGCTAAAAAAAAGACATTACAAGAACATGAAGGCTGCAAAGTGTCTTTTCCTGACTTCTGAGAGCCTCCAAGTTACAGGCAGTCTAAACACTGTTCTCTTCTACACATTATGATACAGCCTTTCATTAAATCATTTTAGTTTTTCCTTAGGACCCACACCTCATTCATTGCTCAGGATGGACGGTGCTCAGGAAATGAGGCAGCTATTCATCCCCCCCCCCCCATTTTCCACATTCAATGTGTGGCCCCATGCCTCATTTGCTGCACTCAGTTCAAACTCTGCACCGAATAAGGATATTATTTTTCCTTCTTTCTTCATAGGGTTCTCTTTGATGCTAACCATTTTAGTATCTTAGTGCCTCACAAAAGTTAGTGAATTTATCTTTGCAGCAACTTCCTTACAATGGGAGGTATCAATATTCCATTTTACATTTGGCAGTAGTTCTGATATTCTAATTTAGTGTAGAGATTGACCAATATTATCTTAGGTAGCTTTATTTATTATTATTTTTATTCAAAAAGGGAAATCTGGCCAGTAGAGACTAAAATAATACTACAGTAGTAATCAACAGAATTTAAATCATGGTTGCTGTGTTATAGTGTCTCTTCATTTTGAGAGATAGGTTTCTGAACTGCTGTAATATCTATGGTAATTTTATCTACATTATCTAGGTTTCATTTGATGTGCCTTTAATTTGACAAGAGATTTTCCTACCAGGACCCTAGATTTATGAAGGAGTACATGAGTGGGTGTGTCTCTGTAATTCTAGGCATCTGTTCAATGTCACTGACCTGCCAATGCTGTAAATTATTAATCCAGTCATCTATTCTGCCTCATTGGTGTTAGTGTTAGATACATGCCCTTTCACATTTTTCATGCCCAGTTTAGGAATAACATCACAAGAGGAGAATCATTATGTAAAATGCTGTTATAATGTTGCAGTCATTGTCACTGTAATGTACACTAAGGACTAGAATAGGTCTCTAATCAAAATGGTGAGGTAGCTCATCCTAATTATGAGGATGGATTGATTTTTTTGTATTGACTGTGTATTGTACAGCATGTGCTCAGACACATAGGCCTTAATTTATACATACTCATCTAGTCTGACCTCGTACACATTGCAGGCCACGGAACCTCACCCACCCATTCCTATAATAGACCCATAATCACTTGATGAGTTATTGAAGTCCTCAGCTCATGATTTAAAAACCTCAGGTTACAGAGACTCCAACTTTTACACTAGTTTAAACCTGCAATTGACCCATGCCCGATGCTGCAGAGAAAGCCGAAAAAGGTTCTCTGCCAATCTGACCTGGGGGGGAATTCTTTCACAATCCCAAATATGGCAATCAGTTAGATACTGAGCATGTGGGCAAGACCCACCAGCCAGACACCTGGGAAAGAATTGTCTTTAGTAAGTCAGAGCCCTCCCCATCTAGTGTCACATCACTGGCTGTTGGGGATATCTGCTACCAGCAGTTGCAGATTGGCTACATGCCATTGTAGGCAGTCTTATTATACCACCCACTCCATAAACTCATTAAGCACAATCATGAAGCCAGTTAGGTTGTTTACCCCCACTAATCCTCTTGGAAGGCTTTTCATTCCTCTGATGGTTAGAAACCTTCCTTTAATTTCAAGCCTAAGCTTGTTGATGGCCAGTTTATATCCATTGGTTCTTGTGTCCATATTAGCAGTTAACTTAAATAACTCCTCTCCTTGCCTGGTATTTATCCCTCTGGCGTATTTATAGAGAGCAATAATATCTCCCCTCAGCCTTCTTTTACTTAGGTTAAACAAGCTAAGCTCTTTGAGTCTCCTTTCCTAAGGTAGGTTTTCCATTCCTCTAATCATCCTAGTAGTCCTTCTTTGCATCTGTTCCACTCTGAATTCATCTTTCTTAAACATGGGAGTCAAGAACTGCACACAGCAATCCAGATGAGGTCTCACCAGTGCCTTCTATAATGGTACTAACACTTCCCTATCTCTACTGGAAATACTTCGCCTGATGCATCCTAGGATTGCATTAGCCTTTTTCACAGCCGCATCACATTGGTGGCTCATAGTCACCCTGTGATTAACTAATACTCCCAGGTCTTTTTCCTCTGTCACTTCTTACGGATAAATCCCCATTTTATAGCAAAAATTCTTGTTATTCCCTAAGTGCATGACTTTGCACTATCTAGGGTGCCTCAATATCCAGGCCACTTCCCCCCAGTGGCTACTGGAGATGGGAGAGTGGGCCTGGTCTCGCCCACTACTCTGGATCCCAGCCCATGGACCCTGTAGAGTGCCGGTGTCTGCTGTGTCCCTTTAAGAATGTTGCACGGCTTCTCTAATTCCCTGGGCCACTTCTCCACAGAATCTTCACCCTTACCTCAAGGCCTTGTCCTAATGGAGTCCTAGCAACCAACTCATGGCTCCTTCTCACTCTCCCCAGCTTCTGGCTGCGCTGCCCTGTCTGGGGTTCTGTAGTTACATCAGCCAACCAGAAACCATCCACATTCCTACAGCTCTAGCAAGGAACTGAACTCCCTCTTCCCTGCAGCTCTTCTTATACTAGGCAGCTGGGCCCTGATTGGCTGTGTCCCACACAGCCACTCTAGGCAGCTTGGAAGACCCTCTCAACTTCCCTTTTTTGCGGCATGGTGTGGCAGGGCCATGAGGCCTCCGGCAGGGAGCCTCAGAGGATCTGGTATACCCTGTCACTTAGGTACTATATTAGCAATTCTCCATTCATAGGATATAACCCCCTAATTTACAGATTCATTAAAAATCCTTGCTATTGTTATTTTTAAATTTCATATTCCAGTTCTTTAATATTCTTGGATGGAGATATCTGGGTGCCCTGATTTAGTCACATTAAGCTGTTGATTATGACTTTGACATTGTATGTGGTAATTTCTACTTCCATATTCTTATTTCCATTAGCCATCCTGCCACTACCCCTAAGGTTTTCATTGCCCTTATTAAAAAGGGAGACAAAGTATTTGTTTAGGTGTTGGCCCATGTCTAGATTATCTTTAATCTCCACCCCATCCTCAGCATTTAGTGGTCCCACGTCTTCTTACCTTGCTTTCTTTTTATTTATATATACTCGATCATAAGCCGGTTCATTTATAAGCTGACCCCCCCAAGATGGATAAGTAAAAATGGAAAATTTTTATAACCTGTTCATAAGCCGACCCTATAATTCAGGGGTCAGCAAACTTTGGCTCCCAGGCCATCAGGATAAGCTGCTGGTGGGCCGAGATGGTTTGTTTACCTCGAGCGTCCACAGGCATGGAGGTAAACCTAAGTAAACAAAGTGTCCCGGCGTGCCAGCTGTTTACACTGACGGGCTGGGACAGCAACTGGTGGGGAAAATTTTTTGGGGGGAGAAGCTGGGAGTCAGGGAATTAACCCCTGTGACCACCCCCCACATGACCCCACACCCAGCTTGGGACCCCCACACTCCCCATCCCCATCCCATCCCAGGGGGAGGATGTCTCTGGCCTGGCTGGAGCTGTTCCGGCAGGCTGGGCAGCGCGGCTGCAGCCTGCTCCGGAGGGCCAGATCGGGCAGCGCGGCCACAGCATGGTCCAGCAGGCTGGGCTGGGCGGCACGGCCACAGCGTGCTCCAGCGGGCTGGGCGGCGTGGCCACAGCCTGCTCTGGGGGGTGGGGCTGAGCAGCAGGGCTGCAGCCTGTCAGCCTTGGAGCTGTAGCTGCTTTGGAGGCTGGGGAAGAGCAGCGTGGCCAGAAGCAGAGAGAATCTGGCCCCGCCTCTTCCCTTCTGGCTCTGCTGGCTGTGCTGCCTCTCCTTGCTCCCTCTGTTGGGGGGAGGGGCAGTGTCCTACCTCTTCCTCTCTGTACCTGTTCATAAGCCGACCCCCTTCTCTGGTGCTTCCCTTTTTTACTAAAAAAAGTCGGCTTATGAACGAGTATAACTATAGTACCTTTTACTATTGGTTATAATCTCCTTTGCAAGGCCCAACTCTGCTTAGCTTTTGGCTGTTCTCACTTTCCACCCCTACACTTTCTGACCTCCAACAGGTAGCTTTCCTTGCTGATCCTTCCATTCTTTATAGGCTCTCCGCTTTATCTTAATCACTTGTTTGAGATGCTTGCTCATCCAGCGTGATCAGCAACTCTTCCCTACAATTCCCCCCACACCTCACCCTGCTTGGGATGCAGGCTTCAGATAGTTTCTGCAACTTTGATTTAAAATAATTTCAAGCTGCTTCCACATTCAGATCCTTTAGTTCTTCAGTCCAGTCCACTTCCCTAACTAATCCCATTAAGTTTTTAAAGTTTCCCTTTTAAGATCAAGGACCCTAGTTGCAAATCTGTTTTTCTTTATCCTTCCATTTAGTTTAAACTGAAGTAGCTCATGATCATTCAACCCAAGGTTGTTTCCTGCAACCCGTTATTCTGTGATGTCCTCACTATTCACCAATACCAAATTTAAAATGGCATCACCTCTTGTTCATTCAGGAACTATTTGTTGAAGAGACTGTCAGCCATCACATCTGGGGAAATCTGGGCCAAACTATTATTAGTAGCACTTGTCTTTTAATCTATATCTGAGAAATTAAAGTCTCTCATAATCCCACAATTGCTAGTAGTATTTATTTAATTTAAAACTTTAGAGGTCTCTATCCATATCTAAATCAGATATTGGGGGCCTGTAGCATACCCCAAGCACTATCTTGGGGAAGAAAGCTATCAGAAGTTCCTCCAAGGCGACTTTGACCGAAACAGACAGTTTTATCCGTTCCATCACTTCCAATTTCTTTGCGGTCTACCTCATCATTAATATGCAATGCTACTCCACCACCTTTTCCTTTATTTTTGTCTTTCCTGAACAGCATATACCCTTCAATATCTGTACTCCAGTCATGACTACTGTTCCATCATGTTTCTGTTATCCCTAGAATATCTAGTTTCACTTTCTACACCAGTAGTTCTAGGTCCTCCATTTTGTTACCCAGGCTCCTTGCATTGGTGTACAAACAACTTAGTTGTTTCTGTTTGGCTTCCCCCAGATTCCTCACCCAATTAGGTACAATCATTCTACTGCCAGTATTGCCTACCTGACTGTTAGCTTCATTGATATAGACACTATCTTTCCCTCTTAAACTCTGTTCTCCTACCCATTGCTCTTCCTTTCTCAATTGCTGTATTTCATTTTGATTTTCTTCCTGGTCAATATTAGAATCAGGCATGGAGATTACATAAGCAACTCCCAACTGTCACCCCTGAGTTCCTAGCTTAAAGCTCTTTTAATCAGTTTTGCCAACCTCTATCCCAGAAGTCTATTTCCCACCCTACAAGGGTGGAGTCCACCCATGAGAACCAGTCCTCTGTCCATGAATGCCTCCCAGTGGTCTAACATCCCCAAACCCTCCTTATAGCACCACTGTCTAAGCCAGCTGTGAATCATCACAATCTTGTGGTGTCTTCGTTCTCCTCCTCTAGGAACAGGTACAATCCTACTGAAGATCACCTTAGCCTCCATTTCTTTGTTTCTTCCCTAGCCTGGCACAGTCTTTCTTGATGTGTTCCAGCAAGAATCTATCAGTATAATATTTTCCCATGTGAAGGAAAATCAGTGGACTCTTTTGTGCTCCCATTAGGATCCTCTTCAGCCTTACATCTTCAGGTCCATGTTCCATATCTTAACTCCCAGCAGAGAGCAAACTCTTCTGTTCTCCAGATCAGCTCTGGTTACAGGCCTGTCTATTCTTCTTAGTAGGAAGTAACCAGTAACGTAGACCTTCCTCTTCCTGGGGGATTAGTGGGATTCTCTGGACTTCCTCCTGTTCTTTCTGGCTACAAGTCATCCTGTATCCTCCCAAAACTCCGAACTCTCTCCATTGACTCTTCCCCTCTTCTTGTAGGAATAGCAGCTCTTAGCTTCTTCCTTGCCATCCCACCTTCTGTTACTGCCTGCTGTGCTCCTTGTTCATTTTCCAACTCAGCAAACCTCTTCCTGAGCTCTTTCTCCTTCACTAGCTGGTCTTTTCCTGTCCCTGGTTCTCATAGTCACATCTTTCCACTGCCCTCTTTCCTCACCCAGCAGTCTATCCTCGCTATTCTCCAGTCCATCTTACATCTGCGAGTCTTGACATTTCCCTTCAGACTCCTCTTGCTTTTCCTCCATCATGCCCAAATCCCCTTTGAAACTCAACCATAGTTTCCACCTCTACCTCCAAACTTTGGATCTTTTCTTCCATCAGCTCTATAAGGCAGCACTTCATACAAACAAAGCTCTTTCTGGATACTCCCCTTACAAACACCCACTCAAACTCACCTGTTTCCAGCTCTGTTTGCTGGCTCTTGTGCTGCTGACTGGCTACTTGGCTGCCTTTATAGGACCCCTGATCAGGGCTGTGCAATCAAAGTTTCTGATTCTCTCTCAGGACACTGCTCCCTTCCAGACTTTGCAAACTGAAAACACACACACACACACACAAACTCAATTACTGCCCCTAAGGAATAGGGGTTTGCCTCTTCTCTCCTTCTCCAACAGAACTCCCACTCAAACTCCCCTAATTTCAGCTCTGCTGGCTCCTGTGTCACTGATCCTGAATTTTAACACATTATATACCCATTCTTAAAGTGTAATATTTCTATTCTCCTAGAAACATGTTGCTAGGAGACTGGAAAATTGTATGAAATTAATCTATATTAGTAACACTCTTAAGGTTTTTATAGGAACATGGAACATAACAAAATACAGCCCTTCACTAAATGGGATTATGATAAGAATGAGAAATGGTCCTATTGTACATGACTCTCTCTGATGTTAAGATTATTATTAACATTGCCTCGCTAATGTGGTACTTGGGGGTCATATGTAAAATAGTGGAGTATATATTTCTGGTACATGCAGAATCAGTCACTACGTTAAAAAGGAAAATTATGGTTGATCTGGGGAAGTTTTCCTGAAAACTTCCAAGAGAACCAGAATATCTAACCTAATACCTGTCCTTGCGAGATGTCCAACATATATACAGGCAATAAAGAAATTCCATTATATGGAGGTATTTTCTTGATAGCGACAAAATGCTCCATCCTTCATGAGCGTTCAATGAGTCAAAAGCTCATGAGGACTCTTACCTCTGAGTGGGCACTTTACATGATAAGGTAAAGCTCTACATTCTCCATGGAGTCTTGAGCACTGGATGAAGCAGGGCTCACATATGCAGAATGTCCTGGGAAGGAATTGGTACAATCCTTCTATGCAGTGCACTACTCTCATAAAATGGGAGAGTCCCAAGAGGAGAGCCACAAAGAAGTTGGCACTGCTTGCTGCATCATCTCCTCACTTGCAATAGTTCACACTGGGTGTATTTTCCACACATAAAGGAAAAAAAAAAAACTATGTGCTTTCAGTGTAGCTGGCTTTTTATGTTAAACTAAGGAAACAACAAATAGAAAACTTGATGAGAGTGATGGAAAAATCAGAGCTCATCTTGCAGTTCATAAGATCCTCAGACATCCCTGCCTCTGACAGACAGGTACTTATACTCCTGGTATGTTTAAAAGTGCACTGCATAGGAAACAGAATCATAGCTCACATCCTCAACATTCCTCACCTTGGAGACGCAACTAAGGTGCACTGTGATGGCGGGATGGCAATAAAATCTGACTCTTGAGTGAGTTATGCTGCTAAGGAAAATAGTATAGTATAGTGACATGAAGTTGGAATCTGATATCTCTGATGGTGATCCTTAGGTTCTGTGAGTTTTTAAGGGTACACCCCTCATAAGCAGTTGCAAAACTCTTCCCACAATGGGGGAATGAATCTGGGAGTATTTTAGCCTTTTCTTATTTTTATTTTTTTACTCTACACTGTAAAATACTTTGACACACTATTTATGATGACAGTATAGCAAAGCATACCAAATGGAATTATATGACTCTCAGTTAAAGGGAGTTCAAGTGAGATAGTATGAGAGGAGGATCAGATTTAAGAAAATTATAGCATTTCCACTGCCATGATAAAATATTGCACTGCAAATTAGCTATATAGGGAAAGAGATTCCCCATTATCATGCAGAATTTTCAAGATAATTCCTTGGAAGTTTTATTCCCTGAAGACTGAAGATACAGTATATTAAACTTGCATGCAGTGCTGTAGCCAGGTTGGTCCCAATATATTAGACAGACAAGGTGGTTGAGGAAATATCTTTCATTGGACCAACTTCAGTCCAAGCTTAAACAGACCTAAAGAAGAGCTCTGTGTAAATTGAAAGCTTGTGTCTCTCACCACCAGTTGGTTCAATAAAATATATTACCTCACCCACCTTGTCTCTGTATATTATACTTGTCATTCATACTTACTGAAAAAGACAATGTGATGACATGATGCTGAAAGAGATTAGTTCTAACACATAGCAATATTGAGTTAGTATTTTTCTGATAATATCAAGAAAATTGCAACTTTGTCTTAATGTTAGTAAGGAGAGAAACTGAAAATATAGAGCTTAAATCAAATGCTAAGGAGGGAAACACGAGTTGTTTTCACTAAATCACATGTATAAAATGCATTGTATTGAACCTTACTAATGAGCTCATATGTAATAAATAATGTAACTAGAGTTTGAGCATTTTCATATGATAAATTAGTAGACTGAATTACATTTATTTTAATAATTTGAAACAATGTTATTACTTGATAAAGAAAATTAAATGAAAAATGTACGTGCCTCAATCTCGCTGAAGATTTTGCACATGGTTTGTTAGCTGTCTTCATGCTTTTATAAAAATGAGTGCAAGTGGCATAATCAACAGCTAGAAAAAAATATGTGCTTTGTTTTATGCCTTTTAAAATTGCTAGTTTCACAAATAATACATTCAGATAAAATTATTTTTCCAGTATTTATTGTTGGTGAAAAATGATGATGGCAATAGTAATGTAGCTACATGCACATGAAAGAACAGCTTGTTCCTTTCCTACAGTGACCTCGGGTACTTCCAAAAAGTTGTGATTTAAATGTGACTTGCAATCAAATCCTTTATAATGTAGGAAAATGGCCTGCAAGTCTGTTCTTAAAAACAGATAAAAGTAATTATATATTTAATTTCTCCTAGTTTTTTACACTAAAAATTCATGTGTTGTCTACCCTAGTCTCCTAGTTTTTTACACTAAAAATTCATGTGTTGTTTTTCTGGATGACTAGAGAAGTAGCAGGTTTTGAGACCATAGATACCCTGGATGGAAAACCTGATTGATTGAGAGAGGAAGTGATTTTTATTCAGACTGTTTAAAGAAGTGTGTGTGTAAAACAATTGGAAGAGAGATTTGTTCTTAAAGTTTCACTACAACAACTCCTTCAATTAAGGGTTGAGAGAACTAAGCTACCTTTCTGAGTCCTTCAAGGGAGCCCTCCAGCAAAACAGCAAAGATAACATGTAAAATTCCTGATACTATTCTTCTTCTTCAAGAATACAAAGTAAAAGTTTCTCATCTTTAGTACATTATAAAGAAGCACAAAAAAAGCACAAACCTTTTCAGGTCATTTGTAGGAAAATTTTCTATTTTATTGTGTTTTTTTCTGCTTTTCTAGTGTCTGAGACTGCTTAGGAGCTTGTTCTTGCCACCCTCACTCATGATGAATATTCAGTAGAATATTGTTTTTGTCAAAAGGCTTTATCCAGTTTGTTAGCCTCATCCTGTACACCGTCAGATTGCTGCAGTGAGACTATCATTTCAATTAAATGTTCAAATCAATTTTATCAGGGTGAACTCATCTTCCTTGAGATTATTTTTAATACTGAAAAGTCAGGACAAGACTCAGCTTTCTCCTTGTTGTTACTTCTTGCCCCATATCCACACAGGCCAGTATCTGTAGCACAATAACTTTTAAAACATTTTCTGCACTAAGTTGAAACATTGATCAAGTCAAGACTTTTAAGTGCATGGGGCACTCATTCCTTAAACTAGCCACTTTCAATTTAAGGAAGGCCAGATCCAGGCCCTTGTTGCCTGCGTTCTGAAAGTAAGGAATATCTCATTAGGAGGATAAAACGAAGGCAACCGCCTTTGTGTGGAACACTAGAGAGATGGTTGGAAATACTATTACTACCTAACAAATAGATCTTGTAAATATCAAATATTCTTAGGGGGAAGTAAAACATGTATGGGAGATTATAAGCTTCAATAAAACTTATAAAGAAATCAAACACATTACATGAAATACTAAAACTGCAATATATCACACAATCTTTTGAAAGCAGCCATTGGCTTTTAACATGATATACTTCCCCAGGCCAGGGGGCCAAAGCCGAAGCCCAAGGGCCTCAGCCCCAGTCAAGGGGCCTGTAACCTGAACCCGCTGCCCATGGCTGAAGTCCTCGGGCTTGGGCTTTGGCCCCGGCCCCAGGCTCCAGCAAGTCTAAGCCAGCCCTGGCGACACTATTAAAATGGTGACACCATTAAAAAGGGTACATGCACAGTTTTAATTACAATAAAAAGTTGTTGGAAAATAAGGAATAAAGCTGTAGATGTGTTGCCTGAACCTTTTTGAGGTTAATAATGTTGGATTAATGGCAAATTGATCTGACAGTGATGATGTTCTTTCCCTAGAATCAGACTACACAGAATTCACTTTATGGAGCTCAGTATCTTGTGGGGAGTCTCAGAGTGGATGACAAGGACACTCGCACTGAGAGCAAAATAAAGCCTTAGATACCTATTTATGAAAATAATGGATAAAGCTAGGAAAGATCCAAGCTACATAACCCCAATCCTGTATTAGCATTCTCTTGTTATCTGTGTTATCATTCTATGCATAAGTTCTTAGTATTGCATACTCATATCCTTAGTTGAGGACCTGGTGGTAAGAGACAAAAGGCCCAGCCCTGTATCTGGCATTCCACATTTGATTTAAGTGCTATATTTTCAGTTTCTCTCCTTCCTAACATTAAGACAAGAAAGTTGCAATTTTCTTGATATTATCAGGAAAATACTAATTCAGTATTGCTATGTGTTAGAACTAATCTCTTTCAGCATCATGTCATCACATTGTCTTTTTCAGGAAGTATGAATGACAAGTATACTATATAAGAGACAAGGTGGGTGAGGTAATATATTTTATTGAACCAACTGGTGGTGAGAGTCACAAGCTTCCCCAATGAGTTGAAGGGTCAAGTAGTAGAGAAGCAGACAGCAATGGAAAAGGCCCAGGAAAAAACAGCCCCGGATCACATGATGACTGTCCTGTTATAGTGCCTGAGCATCATTGGCTCGTGTTCAGTCCTCCATGCCCATATTTAGCCTTTTTACCAATATAAAGCTGAGGTTTACTTATTCTATAGGTTAACATATTGTTATGTGTAACTACCATTTCAGCGCATGATCATACCGTCATCCCTTGCTTAAGCGGATTTGCGGCTGTTACTTCCATGTTCC